TTTTTCTTTTTCTTTTTGGTTCTGCATCTGATCTCATTAACAGTGAGTATCTGCTAAAACTGAGGCCTGATCCAAATACTTGTATTTGCCAAAAAGATAAGGCAGCAAACACATAGGAGTTCAGTCGATGAGGAGCAGCAAGGATTTGGAGAGAAAATCACAAACTTAATATAAATTCAGCATTAGAAAAAAAAATAAGAACCAATTTCTAGAAAAGTGTTGACTGAAAAAAGCCAATAAAGTAATATGTGTACACTTGAAGCTTGAGTTAATAATTCCCCATCCGTATCTGAATATAGCACACATAAGTTGAGCACAAATATTATTTTTGACGAGGTCATGAGTTCAGTCAGAACCAGGTCATACTGCCATGTAATGTGTAAATCATTGCTGCACCATTTCTTAAACACCGTGCATTTGTTTTTGTTATTTTTCCATATTAGTACAAGGCCGACTTTAAACTCTCTAATCCACCAGTGAAAGTCGTTACAATGTTCCTCGCTCACACATTCCCCACTGATGGCTGTGTTTCAACGTCTTACTCATTACCCTCAGCCTGACACGGTGTGTGCGTGTGTGTGTGTTGGAGTAGTAGCCAAGACTCATTTCACTTCCTGAGGCTTTGTCTGAATTAATATGTTTTACCTTTAAAATGCGTCACATTTATAGCCCGGGGTTTACTGACTGCTGCAGAGTACTGGAGCGGAGTACTGATACGAGGGGCTGAGAAAACTGCTGCTCGCTGTAATGCAGCTCTTGTAAAACAATGCTGGAACTGAAGCAGTAGAGGAGGAGGCATGAATATGGAGGTGGAAATTATCGTCTTAGAGTACGACTCGTGCACAGGCACAACGCATGTGGAGATAATTGCACACAGGCAGAGTGAAAACATTACACAGCTGAGATGTGTTTTTAGATAATTGCCATCGAGGGGAAGAGTGTAACACACTATGTTGAAGAAACCCACTCTACTGTTGTCCTTTCCTCGTCCTAATGTCCACTTCTGACTGTTGCGATAATGCTGCGTTCACACCCATTCACACCCATTCACTCACTCACAACCATGAAGCTCAAGATGAGACATAAACCTGTGTATGTTTGTCTCGGCAGCCACTTAGTTGAAAACCATTATCATCTTTGCAAAAAATATTATTTTGCACTTTCAATATTATATGTTGCAAATAAAAAAAAAACTATTTGGTATATTTTTATGGATTTATTGGATTTAAAACACACAGCTCTCCCTCAGCCTCATCAGGAAGAGAGTGTGTGTGTGTGTGTGTGTATGTTTATGTAATCAACAACAGACGAGAAGCCAATGTTTAGTGATGGGAAAATATTTTTTACTAAATCTCCCTCACTATTGTCTGGTCTAGCCAGATATAAACCTGGTTGCAATTACTCTGGCTTTGCCGGATGTGTCTGTAAAGCCTTTTCATAACCCTGGTGGAAAAAAAAACCAACAACTGCAGAATGAGGTAATGGGTCTGCTAGACATTTGTTGTTGTTGATGCTGTTTAGAGTGGGCCGAATTAGCAGAAGAGAACTGTGATCTCACATCAAGAGAACTGCTGTTGAAAGCTTTGCTGTTTAGTGATGTTAAAATCAATATAGTTTTGTAAGAAAAGAATTCATTGATAGACGTGTGAGGTGAGTAGAAGAGGTCGTGAAGGTGGATGAGTTTAAATACTTCCAAACATCCAGAGTAATGGACAGAGGACAAAAGTGGTGGACAAAGCTCATGAGTGATTTGAGACAAAGCAAAAAGATTTCTAGGACACTGCTGCGTTCTACTGTGAGAAATGCTATGATTTATGGTTAAGAGACAAATGGAGTTGGAGGTGGTGGAGAAGATTTCCACTTCACCAAGATGGACAGACGCAGAGATGTTGCCAGGAGACCACAGAGAAAATTTGTGAAATTTGTGAGACTTGTAGGTGTAAATATAATGGAGCCAAATGATAGGCTGAGATGGAGGCAGGTGATCCACTGTGGCGACCCCTGACGGTAGACGCTGAAAGAATGAGTGTGTGTGTATGCAGCTACTATGACAATGTTTCACATTGCATTGTACAAATTCAACTGAATCCATGGCATGTTAATCAAAACCAAACCCTGAGAACAGTAAAGAAACACATCTTTGACTCAGACGACTCCGTGAACGAGGACCCCAGCCAACGTGTCCATGTGGGCCAAGTCATGGAACAAATTGCAGTCAGATGAATAGAATGTTGCTACACAGTCCTGGAATCTGCCAACAACAGCAACTGCAGTAATGCTCTATGTATGATACTGGATCAGAGTATTCACAGAGTCAGACTGAATACTTACGAGTACACGCAGAGACAACTGGACGCACCGTGTATTATGCAGGATGGTTTGACAGCCTTATTGTAAACAACTGGAGTTACAGGTTCAGTTACATATCAAAGCTAACTGCTAACCACTGACAAAACCATTTTTTGAGAAGGAAAAAGGAAATTTAAATGAATACCTAAATAGATTTTATTATTATTGTTGTTGTTACTTTTATTGATGTTGTTGTTATAATAGTAGTAGAACTATGAGTCATTTGAATGTGTTTTCCACTTGGACTATTTAAGAACGATCTATTGTTTCCTTGTAAAGTGTGACTGTGAAAAAAATTTAGTTTCAACTAGAAAAGGGAATTCACATTTTCATTTGTGAGGTCTGTTTTTCCTAATTAGTTGAGGGGAAAACAGAGTTTTCTGAAGTGTTGTCGTAAACATTGTTTTTATTAATTAGGAGGATAAATTATGTAGAAAACAATCAAAATAGACCCATTTCGAGGAAGCTCATTTGTAAAATACACAACTATTTTAGTACTTTTTCAACTGTGGTTTTCATTGGGCTGATATTCCACAGTACTAGCACAGGTTACAGAGACATAGTGACCATTTGGTACAAACACTGCACCTACTGATCAAAAAGTAAGAGTAAATAATTAGTAGGAAACCTGATTTATTTATTTTGAAACTTTTAACTCGAAGTTTTTTAGAAACCAAATATTTTCATTAGTCTTTTGAAGGACTGTCCGTTCTCATCCTGGTCGTTTATTTGTTCCTCTCCTGCTGCTAATTGCATTCATTTGCATCAGTAATTTCTGATGTGCCCCCTCTGCTGGTGTAAATATTTAGTTTTATATTTGACCCACACATACTGTTTTGGAGTGACATCCAATAAGGTGAAGGCAGCAGATGTCAGTTTATTCATGAATAAATTCTTAATCAGTCAAATTCCGTAAATAATTAACACCCCAATTTCTGTGGAGATGCTAGGCTAGGCTGCAGAAATAGACTTTAGATAGATATAGAGTTTTTGTTTTTGATGCTTCATGAAACTTCAAAAAAAGATCATGCGGTACTTTTTATTTTACAAGTCAGACTAATGTAGTGTCTCATTTGGGCAAGTGTCCTATAGTAAAGCACATAAATATGGATGATGAATAATAGAAGAGGCAGCGTAAAAAGGCGTCCTACCTACAAACACCAAGCCGGTGACTAAGTTCGAAAGATTCCTGCTTTAGTGCACAATTGGCATCTGCACATTGATCATAGGAACGCCCACGAATAATGCATGAGCATCGCGACCTCCCCTCTTTGCAAGTGAGCCTGCACGTTCCACTCGCTCTCTTTCGCAGCAATATGTCACAACTTGCACTTGGACAGGGCCTGCCAAGCCGCTCACACAGGAAATACGAGGACGGTGATTTTATTTAACAGCTCATTTAGCATTCTCCTGTAGTACCTTTAGCCCAGGTTACTAATGGCGTGTATCCCCCAAGATTTGTCAGAAGATGTATGAAAATGCAAATATGTCAGCGGGAAGTAAACGCGGCTCTCTCTCGGCAAGGAGACGGATTTGATAGCTCTGCAGTAAAAATTTCCAGCTCAAGTGGGAGTCTTAAGCTGGATAGCACTGAACTGTGGGATGAACACCTTATCCAGCAGCTCAGGGCCGCAGCTACTGTAACACTATCATAACAATGTCAGGGGGAAAATGACTGAGACGTAAATTAAACTTTATGAATGTTTATGGCTTTGGTGATTAATTGGTTAATAATGTCACTTTCGATGGAGAGTTTACAGCCCTCCCCCGTTAGACTCCTATTATGAGATTTTCATATTAGTCAAGAAGCCATTATCTATCATGGCAGGCTTAAATAATTCCGCGTTATTACACTGTCAGCTTTTATGTCGACGTCAGAACTGGTTCCTGGGACTTGAAGTACACACAGATTTATAAATAGATGTATGTTCTGTGACTCGGTAGTTTACAAGTGTGAGATGAGTGAATGTCAAGCAGGCGGGAGAAAAGAGAAATTAGTGCAATAACACTGGTGATGTTAATATTCATGTGTTGAATTAAAAATGCAGAAATACTTGTGAAGGTTATGGTGCAATATACCTTTGAATGTTACTTTGAATCATACATATTTAATACCACGTTATATGTATTTCCATAGGCATATCTCATATACTGTCACATTACTCTGTAATAGATGTAAATCCATAGTCGTCATACGTTTTTTTCTTCTTTTTTTTTAAGCTAGGCCTCTGAAGACTTTGCCATGGCCAATAGTTTGCCTCCATGTCTCTACGTGCTCCATAATACTTATAAATAATGTTCCCACATTCCTTGCATTAATGTATTAATCACCCACCATCACATACTTCTCTGCCACTCCAACAAGCTAACATTTTTTCCATAAAAAAAAATTGACACCTCTCCTGTGTTTGGAAACACTGAATCATTACAATAAGACTTTGTTTTTCACGTTATTGTCAGTTTCCTAACATGATAAAGTTCAACCTTTTACGGTATTTGTGTTTGTATAAACTGATGCTGGCAGCCACCTACAGCCCTTTACGATGCCGGCACTAAAAGAGCAAAGCTGACAGTATATTGTTACTGCAGTGCATCTGTAACATTCCAGTTAATTACACCTTAATCTTCCCTCATAATCTCCCTCCTGGCAGATGAAGGAGCAAAAGTTCACGGCTACCTGAGAGATGCTGTTCACATACAAACCAGGCAGGCGCTGGGAGCAGAGACGACTGGTCATCCTGGATCCTGTCCTCGTCAGGTAATTAGTCACTAGTGAGTGAGCTGCTAATGGCTTTTTCCGTCTTCATTTGGAGAAACAGTTCAATTTAGACCAGGGAGTTTCAATGATAAATCAACGTTCTTGTCACTGAGAGATCAGTCGGAAAACAACTAAATACCAATGGACAACACTGTTTTATGTCAGTTTTTATTTTCTTTAAGTGATGACTGATGACCCCCCCCCCCTCCCCCCAGACCGCATCACCTGCCTCCCCTGAAAACACATCACTGACCTATACAGTCTTCAAAATGGCCGACATGGTGGTGAAACATACAGAGTAACTGGCAAATTTGATTTCTGTGGATACAACAGATATTTATAGATCACTCACTGTCTCAGTTTTAATGTTTTCATAATGTGAAAATTACTTAGGTACAAAATAAAAAACGTGTTAACTTTTCACAGAGAGCAGGTGAGAAGATAAATCATAAATTTAATGCAAAACACTGGTAAAAATGTCAGAGAAAAATCATAAAACACTTGTCAAAACAGTAAATTAAAAAGTCTAAAAAGGCTTTGTGACCTGTTTACAAAGTTCTAATCAGATCCTGAAGTATGACAGCGTGGACAGGCTTAAAAATGTTATGATGTCATCATCCTCCTTATTTCCTCTTTACCTCAGTTTGCCTTAAACCCTGGTTGCCACCATTCGTGTGAGGTTTTCTTAAATAGGAGAAAAAAATTTGAGCGCAAAAAAATATATAACTGTATGAGCTCAAAGATGAGGCTGAGCTGGTGTTAAGAAGTTTTGTCCTTGCCTGAGGAGGCACTAATTAACCAACACGCGTGGTTTGAATTACAGGGGAGCTAAGGAGAGTTCAGTTCCCCCGGAGAGCACGCTGACTCCCCCGAGATTTAAAGGGGCAGCTCGACGACCTCTAGGGTTAGGGTTAAAGGTCATATTTTTATTTTCTGACAACTCAATATATGCCCATGCTTGTCAAAATGTGGGGTGGGGAACTAAGACAGGGTAAGTGGGGCTTGTTCAAAGTGGGCATTGGCCAAAAATATTTTGAGAACCAGTGCTCTGTGCTATAATATCAGTTAAATATAAACAAACATCAGTACTACAAAAAATAGTAAAGTACTTATTCCTCATGTTTGTGCTCTGTACATTGGCTAATGGTTAGCAGTGAATCACCCTGTTGTCTCTCAGAGATACAGGCTTTAGTATTTATTCACTAATACTGGAGACAGCCACCCTGTGGCTTTTTATAAATGCTTTCATTCAAAGGCAGCGTTACCTTGAATTTTGCGAAGAGCGATTTCGCTGCTCAAGCTAATGTGAAATCAAATGCTCTTTTTTCATACACAGCTGGCTGCACCGACCGGAGGAAGAGGATCTATGTTGCCGCACCACGCACGCACACTCTCTCCGTCCTTGGTGAGTTTTAATAAGAGCTCAACTGCAGGAACGGCATAAAAATTTCAGCAGTTTTGGAACCGTCGGTTACTTAAACTGAGGTATACCTTGAAACCTAAACAGACAGATCGCTACTTTTCAACTTTATAAAGTCCTCCAAAACAGCAGTTTAAAGGGAAGAAGAAGAAAAAAGTTAGAAAGAAATGGATCTTGTTAAGTAGTGTAGAGCGAATGCACCATGATTCCCCAGGTTAGTTAGAAAATCAGGCTCTGCAGCCCGACTTAATGACAGACACCTTTAAACACCACCTTAATTCTTTTATTTCATCGAACTATTGGTTACGTTAATTGCACAAAATTGGCAACTCCTGTTAGGCCACCTGGACCATACTGTTTACCAGCTCCACTGCAATTGAAAAGTAAAGCACCACTCCTGGGATTTCATTACTGTCATCACAAAGTACCGTGCTGTGTCACACGCGTCTAACTGTCAGTTCCAGTCATTTTGTTTTGAGTCTCTGCCAAACAGCTGTTTCTTATGTTACTGTCGACCCACAGCAACAAGGTCCTGTCAGCCAACGGCCTTGGCTCGTCATGTACGCGAGACGAAAATGTTTGAAATACTTTATCGGCGAATGTTATGTACCTTCACGTGTTTCTGTCATGTGCAATTGGACAAATATGAGGAAAAGAAAAAAATGGGTGCAGGGACAAGTGGAGGATGATACGAGGTAGATCAACAGCAATACAGCAATACCATCTTAGATTATATTGCTGGGTCATAGGGAATTTAAATGTTGTCAAATTACACTTGTAAAAACACGCAAAACAAGGATTGCAGGAGATATTTGCACACGACCTTTAGTTAGTGGATTAGCTCGTTGATATGTCATGCAACCACAGCTGAAAGAACGAGAAAGAGAGGGAAAACTAACAAAAGTCATTTAATAATTCTGCTTGGTTTAAGCGATTGGAGCACAGAGAACGTCTAAGACGGGTTCTGACCAGAATGCACGGCTTCCCACGGTTCTCACTGGCTGAGACAACACTGTGGGAGGTTTATTAATCACTAAAGCGCAGTGGTACTGTTGACGCACCAGGACACCAAATCCTCTGTTGCTTTCACACTCAAACCATCTCATTGCTTTTGATACTAGTAGGAGCCTGTATTTATTGACACAGGACTGAGTGTGTGTGTGTGTGTGTGTGTGTGGGTCAGTCCCAGGCTTGTGATTTCCTACTTTTTTTTTTTTTAACATATTTGTCATCTCACTCACACTGAAAATCCTTCACTAAATAATCGGTTCCAATCTACGTTTCATTTTGCGGCTCAGCTTCTCAAAGTGAAAGATTCCAAAACTGGACTCGCTGCTACTGGACGAAGTGGAGCAAAACTTTTCAGTCCGAACATAACTGCTGTGTCTCTCTCCTGAAACTAATGTTCACACTGTTCTACTTTTCTGATTCTACTTTTCTGATGTGCTGACTTAGTGCTGAGGAGTCGTAGTCAAATCTGACCACTTGCGGTTGCAGTTTAAAACGTTCACAGCTGTAAAGGCTGCTCTAAAAATAGTTCTTTTTTCCCCCTTTTCTCCTTCACTTGTTTTGTCAAGTAGGAGGACCGTTTTTTTTTTTTTTTTTCCTCCAGTGCCTGGGCATGGCCTCAGAGTTGGGCGCTTGCTCGACTTGATCCTTTTTTTTTTTTTTTTCCCCCAGTGCCTGGGCATGGCCTCAGAGTTGGGCGCTTGCTCGACTTGATCCTTTTTTTTTTATTATTCCCTCTGCCTGCCAATTTTCCTGACAACTGAAGCAGAATGTAGACAAAGTGGAGGAGAGACACGGGCTTTAAGGCTGACGCAAACACATGATGGTCTGTCTGTGCTGTCTGTAATGACTGCACTCACTCTCCAAAGCCCCCGCCTACATAAAATGCCCCCTCACTCTGCTGCCCCCTTTCTTTACTCCTCCCCTTCGCCTGAGCAGAGCAGGCTTTATCATCTGTGATAAAGCACCATGTCTGGGAGGAATCAGCCCTGGATGTTTATTACATTAGGTCAGCGCGTACTAATTGAGAAACTCCTACAGACCATGTCATTGCCACAGGCCAGTGGGGTAACGGATATAAAGCAGCACTACTTCATCCCTCTGTTCCTTTTTTTTTTCCCACTTTTACCCTCCACAGGAAAAACAGACAGCCCCGCTGAAAAGGTCATAATTAAAAAGCTGATTATTGTCTCCGTATAGACCGTTTATTTGGCTGCAGTTAATTTGAAAATAAATTAAAACTTACATATGTTATCTTCTCCGACCGCACGTGGAACGCAGATTCCATTAATTCCGTGGTAGTCAACAAAACGGCTGCTGCTGTTGTTTAGTGTGTACTTTTGTGTTTAACTGTGCGTATACACATATACATGCAGTACAGTACAGTACTTAAAAGTTCCACACCAGTCTTTATGTTTATTAGACACATTTGTTGCAAGACTTGTTCTTTTTTCAGTCATTTAAAGCAATAGCCAGAAGCTGCTTCTCTGCAGTCAGGGAGGGCGAAAGCTGCAGTCGTTGAAAACTGTGTGACCCCCGATAGGTCCGCGACCCAGAGGTTTTCTATAAAGAAAACTGATTAATGTAGTGGAGAAATAGCTGATGGCTTAGTCTATTTGATTGAAAAACAGTGAAAGGTTTTTATAGTAAAAGTAAACAGCTACCTAAAATACTACAGTTATATTTACAAAGATTTTTGTGTGGTATCTATTTTGTGTTTTCATTAAATTACTTTTTTTTTCACACCATTATGCCAACACTTGGCCTGAAATGTCTGCAGTTCATCAGATTTTTTTCTCTCTTCTCAGCCTTTATTCAGGTGCAGAGCAGAATATTAAAACTCTACCAACAAAACATTAAACGACATTAAAGTTCAGTCCTGGTCTGGCAGCCATTATCTACAGTCCTTATCCTTTGAGGGTTGCAGAGAGGACAAGCAGTCCCATCTGACGTGAGGTGAAAGTCAGGTCAGCAGCTCGGTCACCAGCCAAACGCGGGGCAAATGTGTCAGTGTGAGGCATTCAGACTGAAGCCAATAAATATTCTATTCAACACAGACCTATTTTTCCTCCTGCAAATATAAATTATTATTGAATTTAAAAAAAAAAAAAAAGTAAATAGAACAATCAAGCCATAATCAGTATTTTATTTTTGTTAAGAGTATTGCTGAGAGTTATGTTGGAAGTTATAGTAAAAATGAAATTTAAAAATAAATAAACACAAGTACAGCAAAGACAAAAAAAAACCTTGATGTTGTTCCTTTTTCATCAAGGTTCCTTAATTTCCCTTTGGGATCAATAAAGTATCTATCTTTGGCTCCATATTGACAGTGTTGATACTTGAAGTTCCTTTTATTCCGACTGAACAAAAGCAAAGTTTATTGATTATTCGGAGCAGCTGTTAAGAACTTGCCCTCCTCCTGGCTTTAACACTAACTTTTTCTTACTTGTGCAGAAAGGTCAGAGTAGAGACTCGGCTCCAGCGGCCTGTTTAATTGTACTTGTTCTGTGCCTCGTGTCAGCATTTCCAGGCAGCGATCACCGTGGATCCATTAGCGGCTCTGCCTCCATTCATAACAGTGCCACTCTTCGCAAACTGTCCTGTGTCTGCTCCACTAAAGTGGACCTGAAGTTCTACCACACTGTGCCATCAGTGGCAGCTTCCTCTCCCTCCCGCTGCTCTCACCGACTCCTTCCTCTCAAAACTCAGGCTCCAGTGCTCACCACTGCAATAACACACTGTCTGGCCTGACAACCTCTCTGTATTAGAGAACTCAGGATTGCCTAATCAGCAGTATTACTCTACAGATGGCCAAAAGTATTATATAGAGATACAGTAAAGCTGTGGGTTATATATGGTTCATCTTTTGTGCAGGGATTCAGCTAATAGACAGCTAAGAAGGCTAATAGCACTAACTCATCTAATGTTAGTAATGCTGTGCATGTGTGTATGCTGAAATGTGAGGCTGTGTAAACTTGTCAGTTGACCAGATGAGACACAGTGTCTTGGTCGCCTTATGGGTCTTGGTCTAGGCTTGGTGGTTATTTCCGCACAAACTAAAATGCGTTTGCATCTAAAATGGGTTCCTGCTGTAAATATTCCGGCAATGTTTCCTTTGAGTCAGACCATTCAGGTGTCTTAGTCGGCATCAGCTGCCAAACTCACCTGAGGCCCACAATTAGCTTGGAGCAGCTGCTAGCTTTTCTGTGCCATAACAGTCCAGTCTGTAGGCAGTCTGTGAGCCGTATGAGACGAGGAACACAGAGCATTGTCTCTCTCTCTCTCTCTCTCTCACCCACTTTGTGCAGGATTTTAGTAATGCATGCATGGAAACACAGAATTCCCCTCACACTTTTATGCTACATGCAAAGTGGCAACCTTATTTCATGGAGCCTGGTACCCTTTAATGTGACTCTCATTCTTCATTAGTTCTTCAATATATTCTTGCGGTATTTTACTCTTAACACCTTCCTGAGCCTCCTCTTTTTTCAGACACACAGGCTCTGGCCCCTGGGTAACCAGTGTAACATCAGTGGCCACGATGGTGCCATTAATGAGAGACAAGCTGTGTGTGATGTGAATCATAGAGAGCCGTGTTATGCTGCACCAAGCGCTGGGTTTTAATGGTTATTAAGAAATCCAGACAAATCCTGGACAGATGGTTTCTCTGGAGGCATTCCCTGTTAGGAGCAACTGTCACAAGTGGAAGAAAAAGTTCACTTAAATGATCTTCTTTCTCTGCGAGAGCGCTAAATTATAATCGTTAAAAAAATGTGCAGTGTGGTTGGTAGACAGATAAGGAGGATAAATGGTCCTCGCACTGAATTCATCCTCAACTTTTATGTCTAACATTTAAAGACAAATTGGAATCCATGTGGAGGATGCAGCTCAGTGTCTCCACCGCTCACTTCATTAAATGATTTTTTTTTTCTCCTTTAGTCGAGTGTCTGTCATAACTGATTATATTTATGATAAAATACATAACTACAGACATTTAATTTATTCAGATCTTTGGCTTTTAAGTGAAACCAATACATCTAAAGAATATGTATGAACTTTTCTAGAGTTTCTTTTTCTTAAAGCATATTTACCATGAGCCAATGTTGAACTTGGGAGAAATAAAAAGGTCTGGTTATGTGCCTTTAAAGCATTGAAAACAACACAGTGTAAGAGCACTGTACCTGGTTCGTGTACTGTGTACTGTGTACTGTGTACTGTGTACTGTGTACTGCATGTGCCTTCTGGAAGCAGTGTAGATACACATCTCTCTGCTTTTATTTCTGTGGGTTTTTTTCAACCCTCGTTCGAGCAGAAGGGAGCGTAGAAAATACCCAAACTAAAATAAAGGTCAGCAGACGAGACAGTGGTTGAGAGATGAGTCTGACGATGAAGCTGCAGCTGCCTACAGTGAGTCTCCATAATCAGACAGATTTCTGTTTTTTTAATGTCGTCACGAGGACGAGCCTGATGGACTGTAAATGTAGATAACAACTCGCAGGGATTGTTGTTTTAAATCAACAGTAGCCGACTATGAATTTTTCAATATCAGCGTGAGGGTTACGATTGTGGAATATTATGAATGTGGAGATAAAATATGTTCAACGTGGAATCATTTTAAAAGGAAGATTAAAAATGGGATTTCTGAACAGAAACAGATATGAAGTTTTAGTGTAATTATACAGTATATGTATATTTAAATGTGTGTATAATTGATAAATGAAATTAATGAGGTTATATAGGGATACATAATGTATTTATAAATGAAGCTTTTAATTTAGTCTGAATAGATTTAATATTTCTACTCCTCATTCCTACTGAAAATGTTTAACAAGTTGAGGCCTTTGGTTTGTTTATAGAATTACAGTTCATTTTGTGAAATTACAGTCTATAATTGGATTGTGCGACATTGTTTGTTTTAATGATTGTAATTGGTTTGCAAAATATTTTTCCCTTTAACAAATTCTAAATTAACTTTCAATTTCCAGTGTGTGTTTTTTATCCTGTTAAATATCTGTTCTGGCTTCGGGCGTCACTCATTCACTTCATATTAACAAAATTAAAATGAAGACACTTGAACGTAACTTAAAATGCTTCTATCAATATTTTGGCTCGGCCGTATCTTCCTTCATGATGTCTGATTGGTTCTGTATTAACTGTGAGCATGTTCTAATATTAAAAGTGTACACTGTCAATCTCCTCCCTTTGATTGACTGCCATAAATCATATAAAAAAGTTAAAGACCCCAAAGTATAACTTGTCGTTTACATTTTTGTATTTTTAAAGCTAAAGTAATTTCTCTTGCATTATTTTCTGCTCATTATCTCTATTTCTTTGCTGTTGTGTGAAAAGGTAACAACAATAACAAAGAAGAACAGAGGGAGCATGAGGCCAAACTATCCTGCGGGAATAAAAGACAGCTTTATTGATGCTAACATCTAAACAACCACCGTATGAGCCAAGGTGAGCGTTGTTTTTCATTTTGTAAGATCTTTTTTATATTCAAAAATGTGTTTCTTTTGGAATTCAGTCATGTGCTTCCTGAATGACAGACAATTAACAGCGTGCCGGTTTGACCTTGGTGAAAGGGAAAAAAAACTCCTGAGTGAGTGTAATGAAGTTACCTCAGTGATAACGAATCAGCAGTAAGTGCTGCTGTGTGAAATTCCACAGGCAGCATGGGTGGTCTGCTGGTCCTCAGCAATCTGTCACGCTGCTATTTTTACCCGCTGATAAAAACTAATAATTATTCCTAGGATTAAAAGAGAACGTTTTACACCAAATGTGTTGTGTGAGCCGGTGCTGATGGCCGTGACAGCCAGAAAGTAAAGTTTGTGTTAGATGGTACTTACTTACCAATGTATAATAAAACTGAAATGATGAAACATCACATATAAAGGTCAAACTTAAGCAGTTATTTGATACTCGCAGCTTCTTCGTCACCGTTTTCATTCCTGGATGCAACAATCACAAGCCATTGAAAACAAGTGACCTTCCGTTTTGATTAATCTTTTTCCTTCAACTTCCCTGCATTAAAATGCTTCCACAATGGCTGGTTTTAAGTGCGAGTGAATTTCAATGGCGTCTACAAATGAATGCCATCACAGGTGCAAGGTTAAGAATTTCTTATAAATAAATGAATCTGAAACTGCCTTGTGGAATAAAACACGAGATTACCGGGATGTCTTTGACAAAAGGGATGGAAGAAGTTGGCTTCTGCCCCTGTAATGGGACACGCCCCCTACTGTGGGAACCTCTGCTTTAAGCAGACCACCATGTTGGGTCACAATACTAAACAAACTCTATACTCTTAGTGGGTAAATGGTAACCACAAATTTGCCTCAAAGGGAATCTGTTGTTGTGATTCTAAACCACAATGTGTACGTAACCTTGCCAGCAGGTGTCACTAAATCCTGTACAGTGTACAGATTCTTTTAAGTTTTAGATCTTGAATTGATTTTGATCTACTTCAGTTTTCTGTCAAATGCATTAAAGGCTAGGCGGACTTGGGTTTTCCCTCTGGGCTTTGCCAGTATTTCTGCTGTGGACTGTGGGAAATATTAAGTCCACATTAGCTCAAACCACATGGTTCTGACAGAAACATTAAGAGATTGGAACTGAGATGTAATTCCTCTTGTTATAATAAAAAAGGTCATGCAACGCAATTATACATCAAAGCTATGATTTGCCCCTTTTGAAGTAAAATAGCGTGTTGGCAGGAGACGCAGTCCGACTCCACATTATCCACTAGCATTATTGGCTAAATTGCGGCGTTTAGAGAAAGAGGTGCTACTTTAGATGCCGTGGCCCCTGAGAAACTAATAGTATTTTTAATTCAAACTGTTAAATCAAGCGATTTAAAATGTCACCGGAATTAAACATTTCCATCCATTTATGTCTCGGTGTGAAATGAAAAGCAAACTTCCA